CCCCCGCCCAGCCCCCAGTGCCCTTACCCTCTCGTCTCCCAGCATCACCCTGTTCCCCCTCCCCCTGACCCCTCCGCTCCTGCCCTTTTCCTCATTTTCTCCACTTGGCCCCCTGGCATTTCTCCCCTCCACCCTGTGCCTTAGTGACTTGCCCTTTCTGCTGCTGCTGCTTCTCAGCACAAGCCCTTTCCCCATATTTTTCCCCTTCCCTTCCCCTCCACTCAGCACAGCCCCTGCCCAGCCCTAGCCCCAGTCCCAGCCCTACCTGGCTTCTGCCTTCCACTTTGCAGGGTTGCCGGAGCCTTTCTGAATCCAGCGGTTGCCGGCCGTGACATCAGGACGCTGGGTCACGCCAGTGTCCTGGCGTCCCGCCCTCTGGCTCGCGCCCGCCTCCTCACACCGGAGCTGCACGCAGGCAGCCCGGCACTGAGAATCGCCGCACTTCCCCCTCCCCAGCGGCGCTCTGCTCCTCCACGGCCGGCGGACCGGATCGGGCTGCGCTGCCCATAGTGCGGGCTTCGGCCAGCCCGTCACAACGGCCCACCAGGCCAGTCCGCCCCTGCACTCGCCAGCTGGTAAAATCAACTCACCATGGGCGAGTGTGTTTGTCAAGCCCTGCAAATGAGTATCAGATCTGTAGGAAATGCAGCAGACTTGAGAAGCATGAATGACCGAACCTTATCGGAGTATCCCTGGTCTGGCCTCCTTAGCCAGCATTTGTGAATAGTGCGCGGGAAGGAATAGACACTCTTGGGCTAGGCAAGGGTTCCTGTCTGCCACTCGGTCACCCCAGCAGGAGAGGGTTGAAAGGGCAGAGGAAGCTGCAGTGGCATCGCATCTTGCACTAGTGCTGAAAGCCTTGCTGACCGTTCGAAAGAACGCCCCCGCTGATTGTCAGCAGAGCTCTCGGGAGATCGTTTTCCAACTCATTTTCCCTAACACAGTCACGTGCTGCTACCTCTGCTCACACTTCAGCTGTGAGACGACGATTCAATTATGAATCCTGTTAGAAGCTCCTCCCATGGAGACTTTTTCCAGAGGGCATTAACCTAAAGAATTGGAGGAGTTGGGGGCAAACTAGCTCGTGAAACTATGTGCGGCCAGAAAAAACTGGTGCAAAAAGATCTGATCACCAAAGTTGGATGAGTGAGTTAGTGTGATCCAAGGGGTCAAATTAGCAGCAATAGTGAGAGTTTAAAAAATAAAAACTTACCGATTTCCTAATAGAGGGTGGCTGTGGACTAGCTTCCAAAGCGAAGAAATGGAATCCCCAGCATCTACCATTAAAACTAGGGGTGCATCACAGAGAACTGCTGTGTTCTGGCTGGGACGTGGGTAAACCTGCACGTTAAAACACCTTTAATAATCTTCTCTCGAAGGCAGAAGAATTCATATCGCAGCCTTTGGAGAAGTTACCAGACCCTGAAGTATCTGTCCAGCCTCCCCCAGGAAAGGTGAGCTGCTAGCAGATCTAGGCCAGATTGTATAGGTTGGTTGAACTAGGGAAGTTCTAAACAGACCTTTAGAACTGCAGAGGGCTTGCCCATTCTTTCTACAGGTTGAACCTCTCTAGTCCGGCACCCTCAGGGCCTGACCGGTGCCAAACCAGAGAATTTGCTGAGTCATAGGAGGTCGATATTGTCTAGCATCACTGACACTGCCCCTGCTTGCTGGGCTCTGAGACAATATTGAGGGGTAGGTTAGGGCTAAAGAACAGCACAGAACACCGAGCGCCAGACCTGGTGACTATAAACAAACTTGATGGGACTGTGGGAAACTTGGCCACACCCCTGCTAAGTGGACATCTGGCTCATTGAAACCATGCCGGACCACGGATGTTGCCAGACCGGAGAGAGCTGGACTAGAGGTTCCACCTGTATGATGGGCAATCCATGCACCTTTGAATTCTATTTATCCTAACTTTGAATTCTCCTAACTGGAGAAATGTGCCGTCTTGTTCCAAACACATGGACACCAGCTGTCTGCCAAAATCCCTTTCCTACATCAATAACTACGAACGGGTATTGGAAGATGTATTTCCACCCTGAATTGCTTTGGAAAGCCTGGCATTTGTTGAATTTTGATGAACATGTTTGGACTGGGGATTGGGTTTTTTAAGCCTATAACTTTCTCTTACCCCAGACCAAAATGGAAGCATCTCAGAGCAGCAAGGCCAGTGCCAACGGCGTCTAGTCCTGTGCCAGCAAGGACCCAGGATCATGGGCACTGTCCGCGCAAGACTCCACTCCTCTGTACCTCATCTAACCCCACAACTGGGTTAGCAGTGTGCTGGCAGGCTCCCTCCCACACTGCGGCTCGCAGCCGTCTCCAGGGGGCCGCCTCGATCAATTCCAGATTGTTTTATTAGCAGCTAGGCCATGCAAAGGACACATTCCATTTAAAATACCCTCTATAAATTAAGTTATATTGTACATATGTAAATAGTGCCATTAAAATGCTCTAAGCTGTAATTTATCCCATGGCTGTGTCATACAATGAGGCTTTGTGCGCTTCATTTCGAGGCAGCATGTTTGTTTTTACGAGGGGCTGGAGTGCAGAGGCGGGCCGGGTTTGGGGCTTTAGTAAAAATATCCCCCGTCTTCGTGGCGCAATCAGGGCTTGATTTAATGGCTGAAGCCATTTGTACAGACCACAAGCCCTTTGGGTGCCCTTTGTTAGCGAATATCTTGTGATCAGAATGGTTGACCTAGCTGTTGCAATTAAACTAACATGCGTTGCTGTTAAGTCTGTGTGGAGAAGACTAACGGCGGCGTTGCAAGAGGCAGGAGGGAGGGTCACCAGAGTCTGAGTGGAGAGATCAAGACTGTAGGAATTCAGTCTCTTGTCCTAGTTTAAAGAGAGCTTCCTCCATTGCATGCTGGGCCTGCGTCCTGCCCATGTTTGGCAGCAGCGTGGAGCCTCTAGCACAGACTTGCATGAGGGTCTCTTTCATAGCCCCATCTCCCTAGGAAGTGTGTAGCATGGCAAGGGGGCCGGGGGGAGGCTGACTTCCACCTTAAACAGTTCCGTTGTTTTTAAAATAGTCTGAGATCAGACTTGTTGTTTTAATTCTAATCATCTGGTCCTTAAAACTATCCACTAATGAGGAGGGTTGGAATACAGCAAGAATTGTTTACAAAAGTATTTCAGCCATACCCATCTTCTGGGCAGATTGCACAGGAAGAAACTGAGAAGTGGGGGGAGGGGAAGAGGCTGTAATTGAATGTTGACTGCCTGTGTCCGTAAATGATCAAAACTTTCTCATTTTATGGACATACTGAACCTGTTTGACTGGAACGCCGAAAGTGGCTATGCATGGGAGCAGGTTGCGACTCCGTGTGAGTCACACGGAGTCCCTAGGCCCATCGCCTGGCGAAAGGGCCCATCGGCTCAGTCTTAGTAGGTTGTTTCATTAGGCTACCAGGCTCTTATTTCTGTGGGGCAGGGAGCATCTTCCAGTAGTGCTGTGTTCTGGGCTGGTAACGCCATGTGCTAGGGCCGTTCAAATCTCTGCTTTACAAAAGCAAGCGTTCTTTGAAGACGAAGAGGTATGTGTCTTGCTAAGGGTTCATAGAAGACCAATGTGATTCCAATAAATGCCATGCTGTTCTACCATCCTCCTCTCTCCCTTGGTTATTTTAGTGAGGAGGGCAGAGGACCCGTTGGCCGCATGCCTGTTCACCTTGCAGATTGCCTGTATCTTTGATAACAAGGAGAGCTCGGAAGGATCTAGACACCCAGGCTACATCAGCAGAAACGCTCCTGCCACTAAAACTAACCCACTGGCTGTTTCTCCTCCTTGAGGCACAGGTGACTCAAGTCACACGATGCTTGTGGGGTTGGTCAGACTGTACGTAGCGGCAAAAACTTCTGAACTGGGGGCGGAGTATGTGGTAGTGGGAACTAATGTTCCAGTTTTCTCAGAGCATTCAGGCAATGTGCTTTCAGTTCCAAACCCACCAGCTAGCCTTACAAAACAAACATGGTTTGCCAGGGACACAATGGGGCAGGGAGGGAAGGGAATCAGTGAATTAATCCAGTAACCAAGCACCATGCCACGACACAGCTGGTTCCCTAGAAAGCAGCAGGATGAGGGGGTGTTTGTGCTGGGATGCTGGCATGTGATGGAGCTTCTCCAGAGCAATCTACCAAGGCACATGAGACTCTGCCCTCGCAAGCGAATGCTGCGCCAGACTCCTGCACTCTTGGTATTGAACAGCAAGGGCTGCATTTCGCACAGAACGGCGGTTTTGGCGGAAGGCAATTGTAGAAAAGCTGCTTTTCCCAGATCAGAGAGCACCGAGATAATCGACTTTCTGCCCGTTATGAGAGGGTATAATCACTGAGGGTGGGGGGCAGAGAGTTGATGTTACTGAAGGCTCAGTGGAGTTTAGCCAAAGTTACTGATCCTGCATTAGCTCACAAGGGCATTTTCTGCTAGCAATTGCCTAATTAGATGCTCGGTGAGACGTGTTGTTTAGCTAATGCTAATATGATTTCAGTGCGCTGCACTCCATCTGCTGGGAGTGGATAAACGCAGCAATTATATTATTGATAATTTCTTCCTGCTCCACAGTGCTGCCTGAAACTTGCCTAGCCCACAATCAATAGCTTACATTACTATTGTCAAGGGACATGTGCCTTCTAGCATTCTGCTGAAGGGGCCATGTAGTGATTAGGCCCTACGTGAGTGTGTCAAAGCAATCTGGATCAATGTTTCTGCAAAGGTTCAAGGCTGAAAACTATCCCTCCCATCTAATCAAATTGAGCATCATACTAATTAGCTTCCTAATTAATTAAATGGGAATGTGCTGCCTCTTAGAAATCTTTGTTTTAAATCTTTAATGGGCCATCCCTCATCAATCCAAAAACAAGAGTTTGTGCTGCTGGATAAGTGTATAAATGGGAGGATGACTTTGTTAACGCACCTATTTTGTGCTTCTTAATCACTTGGTATATAAAGCATTGAAGTAACTGATAGAGCCAGCACTCAGAATGCATAGTGATCACGCTGTACTGAAAACCGCATGATAGTTAAAATAATCAGCAGTGACCATTAACAGCAGAGTGCCCCAAGGATGTGTTCTAGGACTGATTTTGTTCAACATCTTTATTAATGACCTGGATGAGAGGATGGATTGCACCCTCAGCAAGTTCGCAGATGACACTAAGCTAGGGATAGGGTCCAGAGTGACCTGGACAGATAAGAGGATTGGGCCAAAAAAAATCTGATGAGGTTCAACAAGGACAAGTGCAGAGTCCTGCACTTGGGATGGAAGAATCCCCAGCACTGTTACAGGCTGGGGACCGAATGGCTAAGTAGCAGTCCTGCAGAAAAGGACCTGGGGGTTACAGTGGATGAGAAACTGGATATGAGTCAACAGTGTGTCCTGGTAGCCAAGAGGGCTAATGGCATATTGTGGTGCATTAGGAGGAGCATTGCCAGCAGATCCAGAGAAGTGATTATTCCCCTTTATTCAGCTCTGGTGAGGCCACATCTGTAGTATTGTGTCCAGTTCTGGGCCCTCCACTATAAAAAGGATGTGGACACATTGGCGAGGGTCTGGCGGAGGGTGACCAAAATGATGAGGGGCTGGAACACATGACCTATGAGGAGAGGCTGAGAGATTTGGGTTTATTTAGTCTGCAGAAGAGAAGAGTGAGGGGGGATTTGAGAGCAGTCTTCAACTTCCTGAAGGGAGTTTCAAAGAGGCTGGCGAGAGGCTGTTCTCAGTGGTGACAAATGCAGAACAAGGAGCAATGGTCTCAAGTTACAGTGGGAGAGGTCTAGTTTGGATATTAGGAAAAACTTTCACTAGGAGGGTGGGGAAGCACTGGAATAGGTTCCCTAGGGAGGTGGTGGAATCTCCATCCCTAGAGGTGTTTCTCAGCTTGAGAGAGCCCTGGCTGGATTGATTTAGTTGGGATTGGTCCTGCCTTGGGCAGGGGGCTGGATTTGATGACTCCTGAGGTCTCTTCCAGCTCTGTGATTCTATGATATTTAAATGGTCATCATTAGCCTTCAGAGTAACATCCACAGGCTCTTCAAGTTTAGGCATAAATGAAAATGTCCTATTTAGAAAGGCTGTTTGGGAAATGGGTCTGTGTTTTAGTAAACTACCTAGAGATCATTAATTATTCATCTTCTCTCCCCTCCTCTCCCCCTTTTTTCTTCAAGAGCGAATATACTGTTTGTGTCAAAACTGGAAAGCAGCTGTTGGATAAACTTCTCAACTTCTGCTTCCAGACCTGGTCAATCCATCTTTACAGTCCACAGTGCCCAGAGTACCTTGACTAGACGTATAACTGGTACATATCATCTGTTTAGTTCTCTGAGGTTTTTTCCACTTGAATAGTATTTTTTGCGCAATGTTAGTAAGTTACCTCTGCAACCGTAGTGCTGGGAACAGAGACTATTTGCATAGAGTGGAACCTCTGTTCTGAATGGATTGATCAACCACACCCCTCCTTTGGAACCGGAAGTCTGCAATCGGGCAGCAGCAGAGACAAAGAAAATACTGTTCAGTGCCATGTTAAATATAAACAGCCAAAAAAAGGGGGGGAAAGTTTAAAAAACACTGAGCAGGTAAGGTTACTGTTTCCCTGCTTGCTGCATTTCAATGAAGATGGGTGAACGCAGCCTTTTGGCTGCATAGTGAAGTTTCAAAGCTGCATTGAGTCAATGTTCAGATAAACTTTTGGAAGAACCTGTAACTTTTGACGATTGCAGCATTACGAATAATCTCTATCCTTGAGGTGTTTGTAACCCTGAGGGCCTGCACTACTTCTAATGCCTGGTGTGTCCTACAGCTGCACCCTACTGGCGCCATGCATTTGTCCAAACAAGCAGTGCCTGGCAGTCCCCGCTGAGGAGGACGGGGCGAGCGCAAGGCTCATGTCCCAGCTGCAGAGACACAGTGAGGGAAGGTGCAAAGGCGAGGAGCCCGGGTCTGGCTGCTGGGAGGAGGACGGCAGAGTCTGAAGGCCAGCGCAGGGCCCTTGAAGCAGGAATCTGTTTGGAAATCTTAATGGAAATGCGCCTTGCCCTACGCAGGCACAATGTCGTATCTTCTCCGGCCCTGCCGTGGTGAGAGTGAGCCTGGCCTGGGACCAGAAGTGCTGGGTGGGGCCTGGAATGGTTCTTGGAATGAAGCCGGTCAGGCTTCCCTGCAGAAGCTGGGAGCAGGAGGAGGTCTCTCGTTATTACCACCGAGCGCTCGGGGTGCCGGCGTTGGTTGGATGTACACCTGGCGCTTTCGTCACGTGATCGTCGCTAATTGCGGGAGACTCCTGCAGGGTTGGAATGTTGGTGCTGCGCCGGGACAGGGAGGGGCCGCCCAGGCCGAAGCAAGCTAGGGCACAGGGAGGGGAATGGGTACAGACAAAGCAGGTTCCTGGACAGGACTCCTGACTTATGCACCAGAGCGTGACTGGGGCCTGGGAGAGGGCGGGACTCTGAATTCTCTTCCACACCCCGGTGCAAGAGGCCCGAGGGCTGCCAAGTTTCATTCCACACGCACGTTGAGCTTTGTCCAGGGGAGGCAAGTGACCTTAGGGAGCAGGAGTTCTAAGGGAGCCGGCTCCGGAAGCACAGCCGCTCCGCTGCCCGGGCCATTGGCACACGCACAAAGTTATTCCCTGAGCCAGCTCACCACTTGGGGTGACGAACTAAAACCAGGCCAGCCTTGTGATGAGCAGCACAGGGCTGCTGGACCCCCCTCAACCCTTGCCCTGCACGGAAGCAGAGATCGCTTTCAGGACCAGAGGCAGGTGAAAGCGAACGTGTGGCAATGAGAGGGGGCCCAGCCAGGCTGTAGCTGGCCCCTGTGTCCTGCCCCGGCCCCAGCGCCTTGCAGAGCAGGGAGGGAGGGAGCAGGCGGGACTAGACTCTTCTGAAGTTGCCTGTGGGAGGCCGGTTTGCACAAGAAGCGCTCACAATTAGAGGCATGGTGTTTTCTGGGAGTGCCAGTGAGGTCACCATTACTCACACGCACCCTGCCGTTTCGTCTGTGCCATTAAATCTTTTGGGGAGGGGGAGACTAGAGCGGGGCTTCTGTGGAAGGAGGAAGATCTCGCCTACGCTGCCGCAGCGACCGTCCCTCCCCAGACGCTGGCGTTTCACAGCCACTGCCACTTGCCTCCAGCAGGGAGCAGTGACGCCCAACTTTTGTGCAGCCGAGGCTCGCTGGCCCTGGGGGTTTCCCACTACTGGCTTTGGAAGGTTCATCTCAGAGTCCCTCCCTCCCCCCGGCCCTTTCGCAAGGGCTGCTGGCCTCACGCCACCCCAGCGAGGTAGGGAGGAGCTGCTCTGCTCGTCTGGCAGGCGCAAAGGACGCTGGGCCCGTACACAGCTTTGAGGATGTTGGCTGAAGCAGCTTGCCCAAGGTCACCTAGACAGCGGAGCCCCCAGCGCCTGGACCCTAGCCCCGCCTGGACTTGAGCCCTTTGACAGCCTCAGAGGAGTCTGGATTTGGGGACCCAACTCAGTCTCCGGCAAGAGGAGTCTCTCGCCCGGATCACTCTGACCCAGGGCCCGTACACAGAGACGTGGGCCTGGGGTGAACGGGAAAGCCGGGGCAGGAAATTGGACACCACCTCTCCTTCCCCATAGCCGCCCGGTGGT